AAAAAAAAAAAAAAAAAAAATTAGCCAGGCCTGGTGGCACGAGCCTGTGGTCCTATACTTGGAGGCTGCGGTAGGAGGATCTCTTGAGCCTGGGAGGTGGAGGTTGCAATGAGCTGAGATCATGCCACTGCACTCTAACCTGGGTGATAAGAGTGAGACTCCATCTCAAAAAATAAAAATAAAAATTCGAGGCAGGAATGCAACAGGAACCAAATCTCATAAAGTGCTCACATTTTAATAAAAGAGATATAACAAATGAACAAAAGTCCATTAAAATGTTAGAGGAAAAAACCCAATAGGATGTGTTACTAACCAGAAGGGGAGAAGGGATTTGCAGTGGTTAGGAGAGCCCTTTCCCAGAAGATAAGCTGAGACCTGTGCCAAGAGGGAGGCAGCCATGCAAATACTGAGAGGCAGGAAAAAACGAAGGGCCAGTGCAAAGATCTAGAGAGGGAAAGAACTTGTCTTGCTGGAGACGCAGCCAAGGTAGCCAAGGAGGGTACTGAGAAGAGTATGTCTGAGTGAGCAGGCAGGGACTCTATGGAGTAGGGACTCTATGGAGTAGGGGCTCAAAGGCGATGATTAGGCCAGGCGCGGTAGCTCACGCCTATAATCCCAGCACTTTGGGAGGCCGAGGCGGGTGGATCACGAGGTCAGGAGTTCAAGACCAGCCTGGCCAAGACGGTGACACCCCGTCCTCGTCTCTACTAAAAATACAAAAAAAATTAGCCGGGCGTGGTGTCAGGCGCCTGTAATCCCAGCTACTCGGGAGGCTGAGGAAGATAATTGTTTGAACACGGGAGGCGGAGCTTGAAGTGAGCCGAGATCGCGCCACTGCACTCCAGTCTGGACTCCGTCTCAAGAAAAAAAACACAAAGGCGATGATGAGCAGTTTGGGTTTTGTTTCTACTTACACTAGGACGACACGAGCGATAGCATCCGTAATGAACAAGGGGAAGAGTGAAGCCACTGACTCGCGAGGTGACCGTGGGCAAGTTCCTGAATCTCGCTAACGCTCTTTAACCCCCTGGAAAATTGTTCGCTAATCGTCACATTAAACGGCTGCGAACGGGCCACGCTCAAGGTTTCGGGGCTGCAGCCTCGAGTTTACCTGTCCTCCAGGACCGACTCCATGGGCTCCACCCCGTCAGTGTCCACCGCACGTAGCTGGTCGGCGAAGGCGATAGCTTTCTCCAGTCGCGCCACTGCCTCGCAGCTGCCGAAGTCCACAAGCGCTAGACGCTCCAGGTGCTCGATCACCTGGGCCGTGATCCGGCCACTGCCCTGGAGGAGGAATGAGGCAGGGAGTGTGGGTCACCGGCGCCCCGGTGTGCCTCCCGGCTTGCTCCGCCACCCGCTTAGATGGCCCTGGCCTTTACCTGAGGATCCGCCTTGGACGTGAAGCCCTGGCGCCCGCCCAGAGGGGCCCGAAGGCCCAGCCACACCAACCGCGACCACATTTCTTCCTTCCTTAGCCCCCGTAGTGCGCCCGCGCGTAACGCCGAGCGACGCGCCTAAGAGTGATGACATCAGAGTGCGCTGCCGCCGCCGCCGACACCACTGTCGCCATGAACAGTGTGGGGGAGGCATGCACGGACATGAAGCGCGAATACGACCAGTGCTTCAATCGCTGGTTCGCCGAGAAGTTTCTCAAGGGGGACAGCTCCGGGGACCCGTGCACCGACCTCTTCAAGCGCTACCAGCAGTGTGTTCAGGTGAGCCCTTCCGCCTCTGTTTCCAGGCCCCGCATTCTCCGCGCTGTGTCCCACTACACTCGTCGTGTTTTATGGGGGTTGGGACTGGACTGGAAGGGTGGAGAAAAGCCGCAGTGAGGTCAGTGGCAGGAGCTCGCTCCCCTATCAACACCGAGGCCGTTTGGGTGTCTCCCCGAATGACAAATATTGGTGCAGTGCTTTTGTTTTTAAGACACACAGTCACATCTTTTGGTTCATTTGGTGTTCATCCTAAACTCGCAAGGTGGGTATAGTTACTCATATTTTATACATAAAAAACTAACACCCAGAAATAGGAAGTGATTGATCCGAGTTCACTAGCACCAGGTTGCCTTGATTCTTTCGCAGGTGGTGCACTTTTCCACTATTACAGCTGAGGTCTGGGCGGGGTTATACTTCAGACTGGAGGATCACATCATTTTGATGTTATAAACCCTTCGTTAGCCTGTTTATCTCTCTTGACCAGTCCCCGCAACTGCAACTAGGAAATGTTTATTCTGGCCCAATGGATGTGGAACTGCTTTGAATTGTTAGAACAGCACTGGGCAAAGCACTTCCAATAAGTTAACCCAACACATCCTCACAGCAGTTCCCCGAGGTAGTTGCTGTCTTCATCCCATTTAGTTGGTCACATAGCCAGTAAGTCTTTCACCAACACAAAGTGATGATTATTTTTCAAATTTCACTTAATTTTAATGGTTCCCTCACAACTCCTTTTCCAGTCTCCCTCAGGTCTTACACTTGATTTATTCATTATGGTACTTTTGGTTTTTATTTATTTTTGAGGCAGAGTCTCACTGTCTCCCAGGCTGGAGTGCAATGGCACAATCTCAGCTCACTGGCAACCTCCGCGTCCCAGGTTCAAGCTATTCTCATGCCTCAGCCACCGGAGTAGCTGGAATTACAGGCATGCACCCCCATGCCCAGCTAATTTTTGTATTTTTAGTATAAACAGGGTTTCGCCATGTTGGCCAGGTTGGTCTCTAACTTCTGGCCTCAAGTGATCCACCTGCCTTGGTCTCCCAAAATGCTGTGATTATAGACCTGAGCCACCACACCCTACTGGTACTGGTACTTGTTTTTTAAAAAGTATGTGGTTTGAATCATGGTTATAAGTCTTTATAATCAGCTTGATTTTACTTTTGTGCTGTCATATTTTATTTACAAAGCTTGCAACTTGAGCTTCATATAGATCCTTATAATGTGTTTTCTCCTCCTACCAGAAAGCAATAAAGGAGAAAGAGATTCCTATTGAAGGATTGGAATTCATGGGCCATGGCAAAGAAAAGTCTGAAAATTCTTCTTGACCTTGACAGTCACCTTGAAGGATTTCTCAATCCAGAAATTGAGGACTCTGGATTTTTGTCAACTAAATCTGTGAACCTAGCCATCAGATTTGATGAGGAACTTAGGAGAGAGGAGTTTTATTTCCCCCTTCGATGTTTTCCTCTCAGTTGTAAAAGATGAACTCTTTGAGATGATTTCTTACCTGCTGTGGCATCTGGCAGGAACTCAGTGTGCTAAAATTGAACAATTTTTTGAGATTATGGTTGCAATACTTGGTGTGGAATCAGCTTTACATAAATAACCTTGTATGCAAACGATGATAAACTAGTCAGGATGAGCAGAGCTGCCTGACCTCTTGATTTCTGCTGCGAAAGACATATACACTGTACTGGGGTCATCGTTCATGAAAGCAATTGGTTAAGACCTCTTTTTTTCTCTCAGGGAACTAATGCTCTGAAAAAGGATCTGGGCACAACAGTTTCAGTGAGTGCTTTTGAGCACACTTTTATTTTTATATAGTAACTAATGGTTAAGATTGCTGGTGGCCTGGATTAGCAAAGAGGAAGACAGCTTTTAACACAGTTCCCTGCCTTCACCAGAGGTGTCAGATTAAGATGTGAAAGCTGCAAGAATGGTGGAATGACCACCGTTTCAGAGCTCTCAGTGTGTAGTTCAGGAATTAAGATATTTGGAATAGCTATGGAGGAAGAACCTAAATTGCAAAGATCTGCAAGTCAACCCAAGTCAGTGAATTGTCAACCTGCATATCCTTAAAATGCTGCATCTGGTTAAATGGTGGGCGGGTGGGGGGGGGAAGCTAAAGGTGCTGGCTTTATTTGCCTTGTTTACTCATCCTGCCCTGTAATGTCTGTAATCCTAAAGATGGAATAAATTGTAACATTTAGTTTCTATCATTATTTGCCTCTGGAACTCAGTGCATTTTATGGAACTATTACCCTGTTACCCTACAAACCTCATGTATACACCAGGGAGAGTTTTGTAACTTAAAGGTGAAGAAAAAGTGACTTGTCTAAGCTAGGTGGTACAGTATGGCAATCAGAAACCTCACTGATTTTTTTTTTTTTTTGAGACAGTCTGGCTCTGTCGCCCAGGCTGGAGTGCAGTGGTGCAATCTCGGCTTACTGCAACCTCCACCTCCTGGGTTCCAATGATTTTCCTGCCTCAGCCTCCCGAGTAGCTGGGATTACAGGCGTGCACCACAATGCCCAGCTAATTTTTGTATTTTTAGTAGAGATGGGGTTTCACCATATTGGCCAGGCTGGTCTTGAACCCTTAACCTCAGGTGATCTGCCAGTCTTGACATCCCAAAGTGCTGGGATTACAGGTGTGAGCCACTGCACCCAGTCAAAACCTCACTGATTTCTAAAATTTCCACAACATGCTACACAAATACAATATGGTACCAAAAAAGGATCAGGAGAGCACTTACATACCTCAGAGTGTCACGGAATCCCCACAATTACGTGAGTAATTTGGTTTTATTATATGCCCAAAGAAGTATGAAACTTGAATTACAGGCCGGGTATGGTGGTTCATGACTGTAACACTTTGGAAGGTGAGATGGGCCGATCACTTGAACTCAGGAATTCGAGACCAGCCTGGGCAACATGGCGAAACCCCATCTCTATAAAAAAATTAGCGGGGTATGGTGGTGTGGGCCTGTAGTCCCAGCTACTCAAAAGGCTGAGGTGGGAGCATCACCTGAGCCTGGGAGGTAGAGACTGCAGCGGGCTGTGACTGTGCCACTGCACTCCAGGTTGGTTGACAGAGCAAGACCCTGTCTCAAAAATAAACCAAGAAACTTGATTTATAGAAGGCCCTAATTCTATTGTCTTGTCTCCATTTTACCAGTCGCTACATCATATTTAATGTGACTTGTCTGTAATGTCATTTCAAAACATTCTTCATTTATATTTTATGACTGACTAGGGTCCATTATCCAAGGATTATAAAAGATGTTTGGAACCTAGCCAGGGGAGGCCAGGCAGCAAGCTGAAGTATAATACATCTGTCCTAAACTCAGACTGGCCACAACCAAAACAGCCCTATAGGGACTCAGAAGTACAGGCTGTTATATCACAAAATGGGAAAGATAATGAGATTCTCTATTCTGTACTGTATATGCCTTACTTTTGCATTACCAGTTTAATGTAATACAACATGAAATACCTCGTTGCCTCTTGAACCTACCACGAAAGTGTTCCTTTGAGCCTTAAGAATAAACCAACTGGCCGGGCGTGGTGGCTCACGCCTGTAATCCCAGCACTTTGGGAGGCTGAGGTGGGCGGATCACCTGAGGTTGGGAGTTTGAGGCTAGCCTGGCCAACATAGAGAAACCCTGTCTCTACTTAAAATACAAAAAATTAGCCAGGTGTGGTGGTACATGCTTGTAATCCCAGCTACTCAGGAGGATGAGACAGGAGAATTGCTTGAACCTGGGAGGTGGAGGTTGTGGTGAGCCAAGATCATGCCATTGCACTCCAGCCTGGGCAACAAGAGCGAAACTCTTGTCTCAAACAAACAAAAAAAGAATAAACCAGCTCTGGCCAGGCACAGTGGCTCAGACCTGTAATCCCAGCAGTTTGGGAGGCTGAGGTGAGCAGATCACCTGAGGTTAGGAGTTCAAGACCAGCCTGGCCAACATGCGAAACCTTGTCTCTACTAAAAACACACAAAAAATTAGCTGGGCGTGGTGGCGCATGCCTGTAGTCCCAGCTATTCGGGAGGCTGAGGCAGGAGAATCGCTTCAACCTGGGAGAAGGTTGCAGTGAACTGAGCTCGTGCCACTGCACTGTAGCCTGGGCAATAGAGTGAGACTCCGTCTCAAAAAAATAAAAAAGGTTTTTGTTTTTTTTTTCTGGGCTCACTGCAACCTCCGCCTCCTGGGACTACAGGTGCGTGCCACCGCGCCCAGCTAATTTTTGTATTTTCAATAGAGATGGGGTTTTACCATGTTGTCCAGGATGGTCTTGATCTCTTGACCTCATGATCTGCCCGCCTTGGCCTCCCAAAGTGCTAGGATTACAGGTGTGAGTCACCGTACCCGGCTAAAATAAAGGTTTTAAATTTTGATTGCAATTAATTGCCCTCTCAGAGTGGTTTTGTAACTACTACTACTGCCATTTACTATCCATTAAAACAGGATAGTTTTAATTCCAGAAAAAAGTCAATAAGCAGAAATGTGTCACACTCCCTTTATTTCTCTTAAGATTTCTGACCCTACCAGCCCTGAAGGAGATGACCTCAAGGTAAGAACTTGACATGTTTGAGAAAATTATGACTACAGGGAAGATTCTGCAGTAAATGCTAGTGGAGTGGGACAGGAAAAAGATGAGACCCAGATCAAGCACTTCCTCTTGAGAAACACAAGTACCTCTTTCAGGTGTAAAATGCAGCCATTCTGCTAGCCATTCAATGTCTTTGAAATCTCAGGCCTGTCAAGGACCATTG